CAGCAGCAAGAAGGTTTCGGTCATCCCTTGAGGGTGAGTCTAGCCCTGCTCGCCAGAAGACCCCCCCCTTCACTACAACCCATGTCTAAGCAAAAGCTTGTCGAGGAGCGAGGGGAAGAAGGGTTTAGTCCTATGGTTTGATGGTGGTTGGCAAAGCGTTCTGGTTTTTGGCAACTCTGTCACCAGAAAGCAACAAGAAAAATCTGAGGAGAACACCACTGCCCCGCGGGTGTGTTGACCGTTCAGTACTCCGCGAACCTTAAGAGTATTGCAGGCCCCATTTTTCAGTCTGATCAAATTGTTTGTCCACCATGCCCCCCTCTTCGTGTCTGTGGACAGACTGCTGTTCAGGCCGCTCTTGCTCTCCTCTCTCCCCTCTCTGGGTGTGCGCGTCAAAAGGGATACGACTATTTCATCTGACGCGACATCATCCATTGCTGGGAAAATAGAGGCTTACGTATCAGGAGAACAACACTATGCGGGGCTACGAAAAGCGTGCGAGCATCCTGCAGGAGGATCTCGAAGACACAATATTCAAACTGGTGTGCGATAGGGCCACGCTTCGAGCAGTGGGCAGAGTGGCTGAGAGCTCCGCTAGAGCATGCGGCAGCCACGGCAAATCATGACCTCGTGAATAAGCTGCTGAGAGCCGGGGCCAACGGTGGTCCCGGTTGGCGGGGTCGTCATGGCAAGATGCTGCTGCATGCGGCTGCGGAGGGCGGCAACGTACACGTCGTGTCGCTGCTGCACAGGACAGGGGCTGGGGTATACATGGACACCAAAGCCCCCGGCACCGGCCATACACCTCTCCACCTGGCGGAACGAGGCGGAACGCGGCTGCTGCAAAGGCGCTGATAATGGCTGGAGGTGCGCGATGAAAAAAGGCACACCCCGCTTCACCTCGCTGTCCAAGAGGGTCACGTGGAAATCGCCGAATATCTGCTGTTAAGCGGAGCCGACCTCAACTTGCAAGGCTCAACCGGAGCGTTCCCAATTCACCTCGCGGTCGACAGCAGCCAAGATGAGTTAGCGGTGGCCTTGGCCCATAAGGAGGTGAACTTGAACTGGGAAGACGGTGTTAACATTTCCCCACTGGAAAGAGCGATTTGTCAGGACCGCATGTCCACTCTGAGAGTTCTGTTAGCCGAAGGTGCGGATGTGACCCATCGACGTTATTATGACAGCGAGACGGTGCTGCAATTGGCCGCGAAGTTGAACAAAGTGGCCGCCATCCCAGCTCTTACGGAGGCTGGAGCAGATATTGAAAGTCCTGACGCTTTCGGCAGAACCCCGCTCTACTCTTCAGCCGTACATGGCTCGTTCTCATCTATGCGCGCTCTCTTGCTCCTGGGAGCCGATGTCAACACGTCTTGTGAGAGGGGGCCAACCCCTTTGCATGCCGCGTGCCGAAGTGGCGAGGCTGATGCAGCAGACCTGCTGTTGAGATGGGGTGCGAAAAAAACAGCCGTGGACTCACAGGGAAAAACTCCCAGCTTCTACATCCCAGCCATAGCCGAAGATGCGGACGAAGGTCATCGCAAGCGACTCGAACGCCGATCCAAGCGGCTAACACGTGCTCCGCAGGACAGGGCCTGGCGTCGGCGGGGCTTCCTGGTCTTGTGTCGCGCTCACCCAGACAGGGTGAGGCTCATGGTGGAAATCCCGAAGACGGCAGCTGAGGCTTCGGTACAGCAGCTGCTGGAGCGCCCTAGTTGCCGTGCTAGAAAGGGGCAGCAGTCGAAGGTCGACGTAAAAGTGGGCGACGCACACGGCAGCATGAGAGGAGCAGGCGCGGATACCAGCGCGCGTGCCCGGATAGTGAGGGCTGATGACACAGGTGACGGCGATGGGTTTGAGTTTGCGGCGGGCTGGCTGGTGGCGCTGGCGGAGGAGGACGTGTTTCGCAAGATCGTTGGGTTCTTGTAGCTCGAACAAGGTTGGCCGTGCTGTGATACATCTGGGTAGTATGCATACGTTCGTTGTTTAACTGTTAGACTACACGTGGTGCCATGTTTTTGTGGCCCACTAGCAAGATTTTCCTTGCTTGGGTAAGGTTGTCGTGTTCTTGCCAATGCATGCATTCTCAGGAGGACCTCACCTTTTTCGGTGGCGGAAGTTGACAAAGCAGTAATGCGCGAACAAAGTCAGCGGCGGCTACGGCTTCTAAGGGATTGAAGAGACAGTACAATATGGATTTCAGAGAAGAAAGATGGTTTGCTACAGCCGAGTTCGATTGAAGAGTACGGACGTACATCTTCTTGCGGAGAAATAGCATTTTGTCCAACCATGAAGAAGAGCCACCCGTGAACAAGAGTTCAGCTGCAGACACCGTGAGCCGTGCACCGGGCAGCCGTTGCCTCGTTTTATTGTTGAGGAGGACGTGGCATGCAGTGTCTGCACCACTGGTCGCAGATCTGATGCCAGACTACTATTTTGCACATGAACGCGTAGATTATAAAGGATACCGTAATGAGCACGAAAAGGCTGCAGTAGGCGATGAGGGATCAGCTCTCGGAAGCAGCAGTCCTACGTCCACCACCATCCTCAAGCGCTGCAAGATTATTTGGGACACTCGAGGATACCGCTCAGAACTGCGACATGCCGAACGTGTCGTTCGTGCGGCCAAGCTAGGTTGGATGGGCGATTACTTTTCGAGGCAAACTAACCACGTGTCCACGAAATTGTGTTAACCACGTTACAAAGAAGCAGGAAACAGTGCTGAGGGATATCGAGCGAGAAGGTGGTCGTTTTTCCGCATTTGCTTTATTTGTGTGGATTGTGTTGCGCATCGCTGGTTCGGTTTGGTGTCTCTTACGTTTCCCGCACAACGTCTAGATGCACGCTTTCGATTCGTTTCGTCTGTTGTGCTCGACGTCTAAGTACATGGTTGTGCAATGCACTTTCTTGTGGCTATGCAGACCCCAGCGAGGCTATAAAATGTTCAAGCAATACCTTGCTATTATAGTCCCAAGCTCTACTATTTGTTTTTCTTATTGCTTCAGTGTGGAGAACGGAAGCAACTGTCACGCTCCCAGCAAGATTTTGGTGCGTTCCATGACCATGTACTCAACAGCGCTTGTATTAAAGCATTCGACACCCTCAGGGGGAGAAGGTGGCATGGATGGTGGAATGTTTAAACGAAACCCCATCACGATGGCGCTGTGGTATGCAGTGCAGCTCGCCAAAGTGCACAAACGTGTGAGCACCAAGACCGTTCGCCATTTTCTCACGAACCCCTTCATTCGTGCTTCTTCTTGGTTTGATGAACATTCCCCTCCCTTTTCCCCGCCTCCTCATATGCGCCCGTTCTTCTACTGTAGGCGTAGCATCCGTCACCGGGTGCGTTTGGTGAAAGGTCGGTCGCGGACAATTTGTATTCCGCTCTATGCACCTGTTGACCAATAGCCACTTCGCCTACTTTCGCCAGCATACTGTACGCAGGTCGTCGCGCGTCCGCCTCTCACCTCGCCCTTTTCGTTCGTTCTCCTTCAAACAGTTTTCACTCAAGCCCTCAAACGACGAGATAGAAAAACGTCGTTTTGGGGGCTCAGGACGTGGTATCATCTCGCTGTTTTGACTCCAGCAGATACGACAAAATATGGGCTCTCGCTACATATGAGAACCTCGCCGCCGCCATGCTTTCAGCCGGTCACACCATACAGAAGCCTACCCTGCATGTAGCCTTCCCAAACCCTGAGGAAATGGGGATGGAAACAACAAGAAAATGGCCACGCGCCGTGTAAACACCATTCAGTTATTATACAGCACTTCCCCAGATTATCCTGCACCGCAACAATAAACAAACAGCACAGAGGCATCCGAACAGAAAACGGATACAAGACCTCTGTTCCACCCACAAAGACGTGAAACATGCATGCACCACGTCACCGAGGACCCTCTGCCGAACCATCCCCAGTACTGCGCGTCCCCCCGACCCCCTCCTTGGTCCCGCCTATGCCTTCTATTCGCGGGAACTCCACCCTCTCCGACAGCGCGTTCTGCGCGCGATATTGCAAGAGGGGGGGAGGCAAAGCATCATTGGTGGACGGCTGGCTAGATGTACATGAGCACGTGTAGAACGTGAGGTGCGGGCGGCCTTACATTTTTGTCCGGTCATCGATTCTGGCAGTTCACACCTGTGTGTAGACGAGCTGTCGGAGCAGATCAGGCAACCACGGCCCCGTCTCTTGCTGCTGACTCTGCAGCACAGCAGCGTTGAGCCGCCCGGCCGCTGCATGCCGCTGCTCCATGTCCAAGAGTCCGGATAGCGGAGACGAAGTCGCATCCTGAGGTGGGCAAGACAAAGGACAGCACAGGGAAGCAGAGCCGGGGTAGGTGGGGAGGGTCGTTCACCATGCACCGCAGAAACTTCGCACCGTTCTGAAAGAGTCCTATTCCCTGCAGCACTATAGACAGCAAAGCAACGTTTGTTTGCGTTCGTTACGTCTGCTGAGCAGGAGTGAAACGTTTTCTTTTTCGAACACTTGCCAGAGCGCATGCTTAAACACTATCACCACCACCGCCGTTACCACCATCTTTCAACACACCTCGAACGCTAGCAGCGTGACCGCCTCCTCAATCTGCCGCAGAATCGCCGGGTCTTGCGCGCCCTCGGGCGCGAGGTGTTCTGCCGCGAAGGAAAGGGCCTCGTCGGCGTCTCCTCGCCGCACCAGCTCGAGAAGACGCTGTTTCAACAGTCCGAACCGAAGCTCTCTGTGAAAGAACGCGCGCAAGGGTGCACGCGTCATGTACTAAGGCAAAAGATCGAAACGCCCGCGCCCGATAACCCCAGTTGTGTGCGAGCGTCACGCACTACGCAACACGTCGATATTCCTGCGCTTCATTTCGCATGCGAATGCGGAAAATCTCCCCCAAGGCTAGGAAAAGGCATCCAGGGACACACACCTGTCTCTGTCCAGCATGGTAGGGTCCAGGTCGTTCGCTAGCTTCATGGCTTCCACGACGTTCCCCTGCATCATCGCCTTAACAATTCACGTACGGTGCGCAAGAGGAAGCGGCCGGCGTCGTTAGGGGCGAGGTTTACAGCCGACATACATGTATTGAATATTAGCAACATAGGAGACAGATATTCAGGTAAACCTGTGACACACCAAAAACAAAGCCATGCCGGTCTATCTTGAAAGCTGCTCAACAACTGGAGACTGGCTTTGCATCGCGCGCGCACAAGCTTAAGAGCATGGGCAGTGCCGTCTTATGACACACTGCTGTGCCGACGAATGCTAGACTTGACTCTACCGTTGTCACCAAAACGTCTATTTCTCTTGGCGCCCATGCTGTGAAACATCTTCCTGATGTTGTCCAGATCGTCTCATGTTGAAGGACATACTGGTAAATCACATCACCTTCCTTATCGCCACTCTTTCCTCAATGGTAGTGAGGTCCACCTTGGCGTCGGTTCCGGACTCTTCCACAAAGTGCTCCGCGGCATCCCGGTAGCCCTCAACGACCAGGTAGTTCATTACCAGCTTCCGTCCGTCCGTGAATGAGTTCACGAGGAAGCATGTCCCACACGAGGTGGTCGATTGAGATGAGAGAGGAGGGTGGGAGTGCAAAGAGTGAGAGATGCCGATAGCAAGACAGGTCACGCGATAAAGGGGCAGACGAACGTGAGGGAAACGGCGAACGCTGTACACACGAGAACAAGCCGAATAAATTCTGTCATCAGCAACAGGACGTTTGTCGAGGCCGTCTTCGATGAACACGTCGGAGCCGATGGCACCGATACCTCCTACAGCGGAACCTCCCCTCTCTAAATATGCACTTCTTCGCAAGATCGGGGACACTGCAAGACCTTTCGGACTATGCCAAGCGTGCGGCTCAAGTCGAGTGGTATGTATTTTCCAACAATGAAATAACGTCATCTCTATCCCCGTTTAGATAGTAGTACACGATTCGTGATGAGTTCAAAGCGTTTTATGGCGGTCCGAAGCTTCTGATCCTCGATAACAACACATGATAACAAGGACAAGTTGGTCGGCGAATTGATCGGAAAAAATGTGCGTTGTGGAAGGGGCAGAAGATGGTTGGAAGATGGAATGGAATGTTGGCGTTTCGTGCTGGGTGGAAACACGTCATCACACGTGTGCCGGCAGTGTTCCTTGTTGGGATTGTGTGGAGGCGGATTTCTTGGGACTACCAGCTGATACAGGTCAGGGTGTTCGGTATCCTCATGTAGGTAGTGTTCATGGATTATAGAAGTGGAGCAAGCATCTGTTTGGACTATACATGTATGGTGCAAGAGAGGGTGGAGAAAGCCGTCGGCATGGGGATGCCGCCTGTCTCTTGTGCGTATTTCTTGAACGCGGCGAAAAAAATTGACTCTTTGGCGGCGTCTCGTGGCCGCTGTGATGCTGTTGCAGGCGCCACCGGATTATTCTGGCAGGTACCCACTTACAGCTTACACAGCAGTAGTGTTTGGGTGGTTAGGTGAGTCCTCGTCAATACATACGTTTTGAATCCCACGCATCAAAGGTAAATGGGTACACACCGGAGATCATCCTGCCGAGCAGAGAAGCTGTCGTTGACCTAACCATATCAAGTACACGGACTCCAAGTGAGGCTACGCGGACTCGCGCATGCACGTCTCGGGCAGCAATGCAGGCATGCCTTGTGGCAGTTCAGCTATGTAGGTGAACACACCGCTGTGATGCAGAATACAGAAGCACCACCATACTGCAGTACACGGCAGTACATCCGCTAGTCCGCCTTGTCTACTGCTGTGATGCTGTTGTGTCCCGATTAGACTATTCTGCTGCTGCATATTGTACAGGCATCGACTTCTGTTGTAAAATCCAGTCGACGACGCGGCACACGTACCTCGTTCAGCTCTCCCTTGGCCACTTCGCAACGCTTCATGCGCACATCCCAAGACGGTGAGTCGATGACCTTTTGCTGTAGCATGCCACCGCTTGGCACTGCGGATGAGCCTCCCCGAGACCCTGCCCCATTTGAGCTCATGAACTCTACGCCAGAACTGCTGCTGCCGCTGCTGAAAATTTTGAGAAATTTTGGGTCGCAAGGTACGGCGACCCGAATCAATAACTGGGCACAGAGGGAGAGGTGGTGTGAGTGCGCACGTGGGCCGTCCTCAAAAGTTGGTGAAGCAGAGGAAACAGAGTTGTCGACTGATCCTTAGTGCGGTGTAACCGTGCCTGTGGGGGAGACGCAATATCGAAGCTACAGGGCGATAGGGGTCGAGCGTGGCAGCCATGGCCGGGACTCGGGACTGGGACCTGCGCTGCGACGCGCTGGCGAACGGAGAGCGAGGACCGCACACGGTAGCCACGATGTGTGACGTGCTTCCGGAGAAGAAGGTGAGCCTATGGGCCGCTCGGTCGCGGGAACGGTGCGTGGGACAGTTCCAGACTGAGACCGAGGTTGACCAACACTTGGGCCCCGTGACGCCGGTTATCCCTGAACGCGCACAAGCCGAGGCGCTGAACGCGGAGAAGCTTGAGAAGTACATCACGACCAACTCCAGGTATAAGGCTGGTGCGACATTATGTACCAACGGGCTCGGTGATCAAATGCTACTGCTCACACGCGTTGATGTGCGGAATCTTATGTGCGTGTGTCGTTTGAACTTTCTTAACGGACCGTTATTCAGTGGCGGGATTGTGGGAATCGAGACGCGAAAGTAGCCGGCTTGTCAACGAGAGTAATGGAAGAAGTGCAGCGGTACCGTTGCGTGTACATGAGTGGTACTGTTCTATGGTCAATGGCACATCGCGCCAGCATGTTGGGCTCCATGTCGTACTGCAGTTGCTTAGAACGAGGCACCGATTAACAATGACCAAATCCAATGCCGTGCCATGACAATTCATCGCACATCCTCTCTCTCTCGAGAGAGAGCCGTTAGACAAACACCGGGACCCACTGCTGTACCTGTGATACCACCAATTCAGGCAGATCAATCTCTGTGTTGCGTTTTGCTCAGCTTCCAAACAAGTCACTTGCAGAGGGTTGGTTGTAGAGTGGACGGCAATGGTACGTACCTGTAACGTGCAACCTGCCATAGGTGACGCAAGATACCACACCGGCTTGATCACATTCTGGGATTCCAAATCATACGTACCAGGTGTGTGTACCGCCGTGGTATTGAATGTATGTGCAGGGCGTGTGGTATCTTACGTATGTCACCCGTGTGATAGAGTGCGCTCACACGACGACGCCCACCTACAGGCGGTGTGTTGGCATCCGGCATGGCATGCCGCTTGATCGCGTGCCTTGTTCACGACATGCACTCTCGCACTGGCTGCTGAGAGGGAGTCCCTCAGCTGGAGGGCACACTACCCCCCGCGGCGCATTGCTCCCCTTTTCAACAGAAAACAGCACTCTCGTGCAAGTAGATAAATGTTTTCCCTACAGCGTCACAACATTTTGCCGCCGTCTTCGCCACTCTCGCACACCACAACCTCGCAGTGCCCTGGTGGAGCTGGCCAAGCTGGAGGAAGAGAAGGCCAAGCAAGCCAAGGTGGCTGCGGCGGGGGGCGAGCAGGAGGACCCCGCACTCCTGGCGCGCATCGGAGTCGTGAAGGATGGAATCTACAAGCGGATGAAGCTGCTCGCCAGCTGGGCTGACCTTGACGACGACCAGGTATGTATGTAGTACCGTAGGTTGCGTAAGATAGCACACGCCCTGAACCGTTTTTCACAGCTCGATTTGCTCTCCGGCCAAACCAGCGGGGGTGCCGGAAACTGTGCGTCTTGGGTCAATCTCGTCGAGAGCTTTCCGAAACCGTAAATATCAGTAGTGGGCTCATCACAGCGTTATGCAAGATGGAATCAACTGCCAGATGCCATGAGTGACGTTTCCCAAGCTAGAACAGCTCAGCCGGCTGACGTTTTTTGACCCGAAGAGCCCAGCGAACCTAAACGAACAAAGAACATGATTTTACATGATGTACACGGCAGTCTCATGTACCTGCGAGGACTACTCGAAAGCATGGGGTACTCCTCTCTAGTCTACACGTTGCAGCTGCAACTGTGGCTCGTGTTGCAATGGCAGCTGCTGCTCTCCTCGCACCGCCGTTTAAGTGCCACCGGCCTCGCTTGCCACGGCGACCTTCTCGGTGCCACTTGTTTCGTGACTGCTACACTATCTCTATTCCGTTGGAGCGAACATGCCTTCCTCTTTCTAGAGCAGCCGGCGTTGACCGTCTCTCATCGAATTCACTAGTTGTGTTTCATGTAGAGTATACGATGTAATGCACGCCGAGTTGTGGCCATTGTCGCCCCTTGCGCTTCCCATCCCTCTTGCATCTCAGCATTAGTTGATCCCTGGACCTCTTGCTCCATCCTTTTTTTTTGAAAGTATACATAATCTCATAGAAAGACTACCCGTTGGAGATAGCACCACAGTCGAAAGGGATGTGCTGTTCAAGGTTCAACAAATATTCCGTCGCCGGTGTTGCAGCTGTATGCGTACGTGCCCCCCCCCAAGCTACGGTCCTATGTATCACGGTAGAGGAGCAATGTGACCAACAACAAGCATCTGACAGCTCCCGAAAACGCGCGTGAAGTTTTCAAAAGCTATTCATTGATTCCAGACATGAGCCGTAAGAGCGAGATAAGGCAAAACAAACGTGTTACACAAATCGGACCAGAAATGGAAGGGAGGGGGCAGGGCGGGGGGGGCACCCACGGTCCATGCCGCAGTGAGCACGGGTGTATGTGTGTGTTTTTTCTCCGTCCACACGTGACCCCCCACGGATTGACAATACCCTCCGAAAGCAAAACACTCCGGCACCAGTTTTGTGCAGGTGGGAGTACGTATTGTTTTTCTTCCGTCCTGATATATCCACCTTGAGATCAAAGCCGAAAAAGGGGCACTTCTGTGCGGGCAACGCCCCGCGCTCCACACTGTCCATGGGAACAGAGTCGGTCGCCTGTAGATAGCAAGCCTCAGGGCGCTGATGATAGGGCACAAGGACGCAAAAGTCTACCCCCCCCCACGCACACAAGCCACAACTCGAAACCCGGCCCCCGTCGTGTGCAGGACAACATGTTCAGATGGCAAAGGTGGGACACGGGGAGGAAGGTAGAACCATCAACAACGGGCGAAGGGGGCCCTAACGCAAACACGAATATAGCTACTGTGTAGATGGACACGCGTGTTACTACCATCGATGGACACGAGCACAACCACTGTAGATTGCTCGGGGGCGCCCCAGTTCCTTAAATATCTCGGGGGCGTTCGCCCGTCCTTCGCACCGTAACAACACGAATACTCCAATCCGCAAGTCCTATACTCCCCCCCCCCCCCCCCCC